ACTCTCCCATTAAGGTCTTATATTTCTCTAGGCTAAACTCACCCATTTCTGCTTTTGAACCTTTGCCTCATACATCAAAATTTCAGGTGGACGCTGACTCCAATGGTACTGAGTATAAAGGGTACTAGTCTGGGCCATTTGATTTTTCCAGTAACCAGGCTTGTAAACCACAGACCCACCATCGACAGATACCTTAACTTTGGCATTCCTGCCTGCTTTTCCCTCCCCAACCCAAATTAGTCATAGTGTCCTTCCATCAACTCCACACCATACATTTCTCTTCACTGACCCTGCTGTCCTTTATCCATGCATTCATTCATTCATTCACTCACTCACTCGCTCACCAGGCACCTGCTGTGCAACAGATGATGGAAACGGCTCTGGGAATACAGCCTAGCAAGAGCCAACACGGCGCCTGCCCTCAAGGAGGATATAACCTAGTGGGGGCAAACAGCTGTTCAGCCAGTAATTGCACAGTAAATGGACAGTACTAACTGTGGCAGAGTTTACAAAGGAGAGTGGGCACGGTGCTGGGATGGCCTGTAACTGGGCATTTCACATAAAACAGGAACCCCAAGAAAGACTCCCCAAGTGAAGTTACATTTAAACCCAAATCTGGAGGATGAGCAGGAGGAGTTAAGGTAGAAAAGGAGGAAAAATAATTTCTGCTGTGTGGAATGACATGTACAATTATTCTTGGGTGGAAGGGAACATAACTCCTACCAGAAGAGNGAAAGACTCCCCAAGTGAAGTTACATTTAAACCCAAATCTGGAGGATGAGCAGGAGGAGTTAAGGTAGAAAAGGAGGAAAAATAATTTCTGCTGTGTGGAATGACATGTACAATTATTCTTGGGTGGAAGGGAACATACCTCCTTCCAGAAGAGTGGAAGTAGCAAATAGTGAAAGCAGGCCGGTTTGGGTGGGGGCCGAGAACAAAGATGGAGGGTAGTGTGGACAGGGCTCAGAAAATACAGAGAAGCTGCACTGGAACAGCGGGAAGGATGTTCACTCCCACGTCCAGACACCAAAGGAATCAATTTTTGTTGATTTGAAGACAGACTCCCTCATTCTTCCCTTCTGGTTCGTCCTATGTATCCATTGCCCAATTTCTCTTTCCAAAGTCTTGTTCTTGCTTTTTGTTTTTCTTTTTCCTGTGACTCTCCTATTCCCAAAATCATCAGTTGTTCTCCACTTCCTACAGCATAAAGCCAAACCCCACTGGTATCGAGGACTTCTGTAACCCAGCAGCAACTAACTTTAAACTATCATCTCCCACTGTTGGGCCTTTGGAGGCACATCTCCAGTGCAAATCTTGTTTCATCCACTTTCTACCTTTTTGACCCAGGACAGATTACTTAATCATGCTGAGCCTACATTTTTGTACCTTTAAAATTGGATCAAAGTGTAAGGGTTAAATCAGATAAGTATACAAAGCCCTGAGCCATGGCAAACAGAAAGTGCTGATTTAACAAAAACCTGTTAGACTGTATGGTCTACCCACTGTCTCCTGCTTTTACCTGATGACCCCCAGCCAGTTTATGTGCTGTTTCCCTTGCCTTGAACGGCTTCTTCCACATCTACTCAAAATGTAGAGCCCTTTGGTCAGCAGATCCTATCTATCTCAGTAATCTCTGCTATCTCTGTCTCTACCCTTCGAGGATGGGTCTTTTATCCAAATTCCCAGAACAGATTTTCAGATATTTTGATTTTTAAAAAATTTAAGCTATCCTTCAGCTTGTGTGTGTGTGTGTTTTCCTTTTCATCCTAATTACTAGCTTTTCAAGGTCGGATACCATGCCTTTTATTGGCTTTACTACCCTCATAACACCTAGCACAATGCATGCAATATTGTTCTTATACAGATTCCTTGGAAGAAAGGAAAAATAAATTAATTAATGAGAGAAAAGAATGCCAATTTTTATAGTGGTCTAAGTGCAGAAAAGAGGGAGCTAACCAAAGTATCTGGGAAATAACATTCCCTCTCTGAGCTTGTTCATTTATTTATTTATAAGCTTGGGAACATGTTGCCATCATCCATTTAGTCTCATGGGTATGTTTACATGATTAATATGAGGTTTATGAAGTACTTTGTACTGTCTGGGAAAAGATAGTCTAGAACTTTAAAGTAGTACATATAATCCCTACAGGAAGAAAAGAAGGAAAAACATGCCTTTTTTGAAGTGCATCATTCCAAATCACATGAGCAGAGGTTTCCAAAGGAGTTCTCACACCTTTTCAAATGTGAATTAGTTTGTACATTTCAAAACCCCTAATGGATACTTTTCATCTTAATTAAGGGTTTTGGAGAATAAGACTTTAAAAGCTAAATAAAATAGTTCCCATATGTGCTTTTCCAAATCGATAACATTAGACATAAATATAATTACAAAGGATTACATTAGCAACTTCTCAGGCTGTTCAGCCACCCAGCAACTTTTCCTCGGGCATTTGAGTGCTCTCATGTATGATGTTTGTTTGTTTAATTTGGTGTTTTTATTTTGATCATCATAAAAAATAAGAAGCACGTCTTTGAATGACCATTTATGACCAAGTACTGCTGCGGGTTCAGAGCCCTGCTGCCACCCCCCAGCACTAACCATCATGTTGGCACAGAAGTGGTGAGTAGTAAACTCCTGCTGGGTGAAGGCTAACTAGCAGTGATGTTCCTCATGGAAAAAGAGGGAAAACAGTGGTGAGAGAACCAGGGCTTCACCTGGTGTGCTGTGGTTTAGCTGTACTCAGACTCTATGCATGAACACAGCACCACAATGGTGTCACAAATGGTATTTTGGAGTCAGCAAATGCCATAGTTTGTCACATTAATAGTGGTAATTCAAAACATATTGATCTTGTAATTGTGTCTCATTTGTAAATTTTCTCATAAGAGAACTATGAGCATAGAGTTGATCTCTGTGGTAATGTGTTCACTTTTAAGTATCATTATAAGAAAAATACTTTGTCAACATTCTGAGTCCAGAATTTTGAAGGAAGAACAGCTTCCTTCAAAAGAGGTCCATCAATTACACAAGTTTAGGTGAACTTTGTTAGTAGATGACAGTAAATGCCTCTAAAAAAGTATTGTATCATGGGCGAGTTCACTATACCAAGTCCCGAAAACATAAAGGGAGGGATCAAAAACGTGGAGGACTTCAAATGTGGAAACTACAGCTTCCCAGATAAGAGAAAATGCTGAGGTTCTAAAGAGGCTTTCAAAGTTGGATGAAATGGAAAAGTTAAGATTGAGAAAAACCTACAATGTCCTGAAAGTGTCACTGATAAACTGCTAAAATAGCCAACTGTAACAAGCTATTGAGAGGTGTGTGAGTGTGTGTATCTTCTTCAGTGATTTGGATATCCCCTCCCTGTTGGACTACTTTCCTATCTGTCCAATGAAAAACTTTCTAGAAATGGTACTAATTTTAAAGAGATTCACTTTACACCTGTATTTTCTCAAAAATATTTACTTTGCCAAAGTCATCGGTGTTGACCTCTTGAAAGTGATTATCTATACCTAGTTACTGTATAAGCAGTGAACCTGAATTTTCCAGTTTCTAAACTTTCTTTTTTTAGCATTCTGTGTCTATAAATGTTTGTTCCCATTAGGGCATGTACAATACTTGATAGAAGGGACACCCTTTCTGTGTGTGTTTTCTTTTCTTATCCTTTCAAAGTTGAGAAGAGTATTTGTGACAGTGTTCAAAGGTATAAATGTTGTCCCTTTGAGATGGGTATTGTGTTAATTGCAACACATCACACATGGGCTGTTACTTTCTGGCTGTTGTTCCCAATGTCAAAAGACTTAGTTTAATCCTGACCCAGTCCTACTTTTCAGGAGTCGTTGAAAGAGGCATGCAATTTGCTTTTCAGAATGAACTTGAAGAGAGCAAAGGTATAAGTAGAGAAGTTGGATGGATCTTTCTTGTTAATGCAGGATCCCCCACAAACCTGTTTAAGCCTAATTTTATATCGGGAAATTTTTCCTGACTTTTTTATTGCCTTTCCTCAAGGCATGATAAAAGTGAGTTTGCTTTGTAAACCACTTGTAATTTTTCAGTACCATTCCAAGGATATCCATTAAGGAAATTACCAATGCTTGATGAGCACTGATTTGTCACTCCACTTTGTGGCAGGCATTCAGAGTATGGCACAACTCACCCTGCCCAAGACCCAGCATCCTGATGAGGTTAGGTTCTCATAATGCCCCTATTCAATGCTAGGTTACACAAATCCAATGATTATTTGTCTTGTGTATGTTCCTCCCACCTGAGTGGGAGCTCCAGGAGGATAGAAGTGGTATCTGTTTTGTGCACTGCTGAATTCCTAGAGTGCATCTTAGTGTCTATCACAATAAAAAGGTATTCAAAAACATGTATGGGCATGAATGAAGAAAGGGAGGAACAGTGATCTCGGAGGCAGTGGAATGAGTCTGGAAGCTTGCTGGTACCTGCGGAAGGAGGGAAGGCATTTACAGTACCTGGGGCTGCCTAAAGGCAGGGGCCTGCCACAGGAGTGCCACACAGGGCAGAAAGTAGGCAAGATCACTAAGTACAAACCAAGAAAGTAGAACAATCTTTTGTGATTGCAACAGGAAAGCAAAGCCCAAATCAGGACGCATCTCACAAGACAGAAAGGGCATTAGGAAAATATGCTTTAAGGGCACAAGGCAGAAAAAGAAATGGGCTGTCCCCTTCACTGCGAGGAAAAGGAAAGCTAATGACTAGCTTAAAGAAGCAAAAACATCCAGTACTTCATTCTTTTGTCCCACCGTAGCCTCTCTTACCCAGAGTAAAGGCATTGATATTATCAAGGGATGTGGCTTTTAGAGGGGCTGGGGAGGAGTCCGGCAGTGGGACATAAAGGCCTGGTGAAAGATGATTCTAGGAACTGGCTCTTTCACAGCCTGAGGCTATACTCCGTGACCTATCCAAGTCATGGCCCGCTGTTTTTTGGAACTCATAGAAGGTGGTAAAGGTCAAAGAGTGTCCCTGAAACTGGAAGATGACTCTGGATTCCACAGAATCCCTGTTCAAGGGCCTGACAGCATGGGTTAATTCTACTACTCCCCCTTCTCCATCCAGAGAGGACAGAGCAGCAGTCTGCCAGTCAGAAGAGGTAAGTCTATCTCAGCTGCACCACACTGCCTTACTTTGTGATTCTGAACTTGCCCCTTTACCTTGTACAGCCTCCATTTCCTCTTCTATAGAGTGGACATGGATGAGGACTCACTCTTCCAGTCACTGGTTGGTAGGATAAGAATGTTTTTCAAATTCATTTTCCCCCTGAACAATGCATGCATACAACTTATAAAACCGCATGATACTCCAAGTAATAAAATTCAGCATTCCCTTCTGTCACCCTTTCCCATCCAGATTCCAGCTGTCATGGGAAATCCCTTTAAACTCTTTGAGCTATTTCTCATGATATTTGACCTTCATATTTCTTATACCACCATTTCCTGATCTTTCCCATTTTAGGTGTAATTTGTGCATACCCCACTATGACAGATGAGGACTCAGCTCATAGCCATTCATCCTCACTCATGCTGTGCCCACTTTCCCAGCATCACATTTTTGTTAAATCAATATTCAGTGTTTGCACTATTGCAATGAGGTAACAATCACACCTGAGCCTAAAAGTGTACTCTGAGAATTTTTGTTTGCCTGCCTTGTTTGTTTGCTTATGCTCTTTTGTTTGCTTTGTTTATTTTGTTTCATGTATTTAATCAGTGATTTGGATCCAAAGCTTCCGAGCAAACCATAGAACTACTCTTAATTGCAACCATATGCATGGGTAGGTCTCTCAGTGGCACTGTTTTCCTCTGGCTGTCCACCTCCCAGAGCCCCTGTTCTGTGTACTTCAGACCAGAAGTCCCTCTTCTGACATTAAGAAAACTCCAGTTGAGGGATGGGGGTGGCAGGAGAGATGGAGACCCTCCAAATTTCGCTTGTCGCCTACTACATCTCCTGTGTCCTTGCAGTCCCTTCTCAAGTGAAATTTGACATGATGGAATGGGTTACCAGGGTTTTGTCCTCCTTCCCTTCCCAGGAAGAGGACATGCTGCCTCACTGCTCTTTGCCATTCTAACAAGTCATTTAATGAAAAACCACGTGTGGCTTCCACACCTGGTGTTATGCAGGGAAGCCAGTGCTGAAGCTACTCAGCTGTCTCTCAGGCCAGTGGGCCAGGCTAGAGGTGCAGACAGGTCCCTCCTCACCTGACACAGGAGTCCAAGCCTGCCAGGCCCCCTGGGCTCCCCAGGCAGTCTGCACACTGGACTGTCTGCCAGGGAGGGAGCCGAGAGAGCAGGCAGACACCAGCAGGGATGCTCCTTTAAGGCCCTTTGAAGGGGTCACTGTGGGAGAGTGATGGGGTTTTGAAAATTTCAGCTCAGCAGAGCCTTAAGCCCTGTTTTGAAGGGAAGCTTTTGTCAACAGAAATTTGGTCCTTAGAACTCACATTCCCTCTTTTCCTTTGTATGTTTCAACACTTAGTACACTTGGGGACTGCCTGAATACACGTTGTTACTGGGACTTTCACAAGTCAGGATCCTTGGAGGTCTGTGCCATGGATCCTGTACCCCCTTGTGCTATTTTTAAGTCTGTTCTCTCTAGGTGCCTGTGGGAGGTCACCAAATCTCTTTCAATAACTCACTCTGTAGTCAGATTTCCTGGGTCCAAATTCTAGTTTCTGCATTTCATAGGTATGTGGCTTCATACAAGTCACTTAAAGTCTCTAAGCCTCATTTCCTCATATTAAAAGAAGAGCCGTAATAAGAGTTCATATTACAGAGAATCAGTGTGAGTATTCAGTGAAATAATATATGGTGCCTTGCACATAGAAATGTTTTTAAAATGTTAACACTATTATTATCTATTATTAAGCAAATTTTGCTATTTCTAAGTGCCCAAGGAGATTTCAAAAAGAATGAAAGACCACTCCTGCTCTCAGATCACAGTCTAGAAGAAGCTCTTGAGACAAGCCTGTAAACAATCACAAACAGTATATATAAGATCAAGTATACTACAGCTTTTCTAAGAGGTATAGTCAAACTACTTGATGGAGGCAGAATTCAGGGAGAGGGTGATCACAGCCTATTGGGGCTGATACCTTTCTTTTGATTTGATGGTTTTAGAGAGGAGGTAGATGGAACTTAAATTGTCGGTTAAGTTTTGTATATACTAGAGGAAAGGGAAAAAATATAAGCAAGTAAACAGCAGAGGACTAAAAATATATTTTCCAAATAGTAAACAGTCCATTTGAAGGGACAAATATTAAAAGTATGACAGAGAAGACTGGAAAGTAGCTTATGCCTACAGTATGAAAAGCCTTTAATGGCAAGCTACAGCACTGAGGGAATTGCTGAGATCCTAGAACAGTCTTGAGAAGAGATTTTTATAATCTACTGTATCTAGCAGGTTCCCTCAAATGCATTTAGATCTGCATTTCCCTCTCAGGAATTCTTCCTTCCTTCCCTACCTTCAGCAAGTATTTACTTTACTCCTGAGTTTATGATGTGGTCCACTGGAAATCATGCAAAGTTGCATGTCCTATATACTTTAATAGAATTAAATGAAGGTCAAGCCATGGTGTTGGGCATTAAATAGGGTAGTTTTAATCAAGGTTCACCAAAGTTCACAACTGATTTTATATGATTCCTTCCTTCAGCCAGAAGCTGACTTGAAGTCCATTGCTAATTCTAGCTTAACACTTTTTGTCACTTCAAGTAGTTTATTCTGACCAGAAAAATTTACTGAATCTACTTGCCTAGGTACTTTAGAAAGTGTAAAGGACAAGTCACAATATTTATCCTAAAAGACCATACTCTTGCTGATGGACAATGTTCATGAAATTATTTGAGAGGAATGCCAGCCTGCCAGTAAGTCTGCCTCCAACTCAGAAAACTAAAGTGATGGGATCTATAGCACAGAGGTGGGATCTGAGAGGCTGGGAAGGGTCCAGATCATACACAGGCAAAATTCCAGAGAAAGCAGAACTTTGAAGTAAGTGAAAGGAGAGAAAGAGGACATGCTAAGTCTGAGAAATAGCATAGGCAAAGGGCTGGAGGCATGCGGTGTCATAGGGGGAAATGAGGAAGGCTGCTGGCTTGACTAGAGCCTGCAGGGAGATGAAGTTGGCTAGGTAAGGTAGGCAGAAGTACGGAGCATCTTGAATGCCCAATAGGACTGGTCACAAGTGCTTTATAGTGTGAGCCATCTCCTCCTGTTTGGAAATGGAAGAATGAAGATTATACAGTCAGGTTTTCAAACAGGAGGAAAAGAGAGATGCCCTCTGGCCCAGAATTTCTGTAGGAAAGAGTATCACGTGTCCACCAGGTTTTTCACCATGAGAGGTCAAAGGAGGCATAGGGGATTTCAGACCATTTATCTGAGGGGCCTGAATTTACAGAAAATGATCATCTCAGAACTTGGAATGAGAAATGAATAACCTAAGGGAACCAGGAAGAACTTGTCTGTTTCTTGCCAGGCTGAGGGCTGATGGGAAACCAGAAAAGGGAGAAGACAGATGTCTGCCACCTTAGAACCTCACTGACAAAGATCTATTTCAGAGTTTCTTGAGGTCTGACAGCCTGGGAATTTGGGTTTAGGTGAGCTTTGCACAGAGATTACCAACTGACAGGCCTAGAAGGTGAAGCCTTCTGTTTATTTCAAGTTTAACTATAGCCTCAACTGTCAGAACGGCATCACGCCCTGGGGTTTCACCTGGCATAGCCTCATCCTGGCCTCCAGGACTTCCTTGTCTCCTGAGGAAGGTGAATCCTGAGCTGATCAGATGCTTGAGGAGGGAGCTGATTCCCCTGGATGTGGTGAGTTCCCCACTGCTGGAAGCTTTCAAGCAGAGGACCGTCTGGCAGGGTATTGTCAAAAGAATTCATTCATCAGCTGGATGATGACAGCAACAATAAGAGCTGACACTGAGCATGACCTGGGTGCCAGGCTCTGCATTTAGCCCCTTGCATACGTGCCCCAATTTGTCCCTGTGAGTTAAGAGATTCTGTTGACCCCATTCTATGGACAAGAAACCTGAGGCCCAGAGAGTTTGGAATCTTGCCATAGATCATATAGCCAACAAGTGCTAGAGTTCAGATTTGAACCCAGCCTGTCTACGCTCCCCTTTTAACTGTTCATTTTCAGAAAAGTTCACTGGAGCCCACACACTTCACAGTGATACCATACTGAAAATGACTGCTGTATCTCCTCAAGCTCTGCTATTTTGTAATTCCACTGCTAAAGATGAAGGCACCTTTGGTTCCTGACCTTTCACTAGGACATGAAGAGCTTGGGATTAAGTTTCCTTGACTCTCCTGTTGTGTGTTTGTTTCCTAACATCAGGGCACATGTCTAAGGCAAAGGTGAAAACAAAATTAGAGTTTAAAAATATGAGATAAAGAGCAGAAAGTGCCTCTCCACACAGCACCAGGGGGCTGGGGCTTGAATTGAAGGGCTCACAAGCAAATAAGCACATGGCCAAGGGTCCAGAGAGCAGATCCTAGGCCTGGAATGGCAGGAGGGAGAGCCAGTTTTCCAGCCAGCTGGGCTCCTACCTTGCTCAAAGGGTGAACGCAGGCAATTCCTTAGATGGCTGGCATTTTTAACTAGGAAGGGGCTGTAGAGTTCCCCACTCTAGAATGCTCTAAATTACGCTACAGAAACACAGAACTCACAATTTGTCCTCCAAAACCCTCACTGTGAACTTATTCTGTGATGAGAATTGGTCCAGGAGGTGCCTCTAGGGCTGCTGTAAGGGAGAAGGAGGAAAAATGAGGTGCACGTGCCCTCTCCTCCTCACTGCTTGAGCCATGCCCTCTGCCGTCCAGCTTCTATTGGAATAGAAGTTAAGATCTGTTTTGAAGAGGAGGCTATGAAGCTTAAATTCCTCTTAAACAGGAAAATGTTAGAATAGACAGTGACACTCAACAGACACCAAAGCCCAAAGAGATGAAGTGAGGTGGCCATGGTCCAGCACTAGTGAGAGGCTCTTTCCACCTTCTTCCAGGTTCCATCCTGCCTTGGCCTCCGTTCCCATAATCTAGGATGGAGGAGTGGGACCTGCTCCTCTCTAGTGGTGTTTTCCAGGCTTAAGTGTTTTGATTC